TCCGCCCACTCTCGTGTGTGTGTGTGTGTGTGTGGGCAGTTCTTTTAAGGATAACCTTAAATATATAGTTTATACTTTAAAATCTCACACCGCAGTAAGAGACAAACATTTCTCTAACATGTAACGATATAAACAAGAAGTTTGTTGAGTAGCTGTGGGAATAAAATGAAAAGAAAGCTCAAACTGAAATGATTCAAAGTCATCACGTTCCAAATTTGAGGTTATTTATATATTTAGTTTAATTTCGTTCTTATTTTTCCTTAACTCTGTATTTCTTTTGGATTATATTTTTTAATAATTATTATTTTCTGTGATTGTTAAAGGCAGAATGTGCAACATTTTCCTCATGAATAAGCAGAAATCGAGTTAATCCTCAGCCTTGTGTAGAAAGCCGCTTTATTCATGGACTGGAGAAAAGAAGAAGAACATACTCGCTGATTATTTGGATGTCACGTTAGTGTTTTTAGATCTGGGTTATTCCGTTTAAATTCATGTGCTATATGAGCTAACCAAAGTGTGCTAACATTAGCATAGTAACTCAACAAAGCAGGACACAGGTGATTGCAGCTTGAGCAAAGGACAGTTTTGTCCGCTGCTTCACTTAACGGTGCTTCATTATGGTGCATTTCTGCTGGAAGGAGAGTCGCTTCAGAATAGCGACGGTATCCCTGAAGAGCAGTTTGTTTTGGTTTCATGCTTTTGCAAAAAGTCACACATTCTTCCTTTAATGGTTTGTTATAAAGATGTTTTTGTTCAGATATTTTTGGGGGCTTTTTTCCTTTATTCAGACCGGACAGAGTAAGAAATGTCTTGTTGCTGAAACGCGTATATCAATGAACCCGCCTTAGGTCAGAGGTTACAGGTCGAGTGTCCATCTGTTTTCTTTTTAATGCTTCTGTGTCTTAATCTCTGCCTCTCCTTTGCACATGTGTGGTTTAAAGAGACGTCCATGCAGCTGTCTGAGATGATTGTAGCTGTTACAGAAACATAACGAAGTAACGTCTTCCTTCAACGTATTGAGTTACTCAAACATCCTGGAAACACAGCTCTCTGTGATCCGGTTATCTCTCTCCTGGTGTGCAGCAGGCGAACACTTAGCAAACACAAAACAGAGCAGCAGCAGCAGATGATGGAATATTAAACAGAAACAGAACATGATGTTATAGTCTCAGACATTACTGATGTTGTCTTTGCATAAACTTTCTCTGTGCTGTCTGAGAAATGAATCAAAAGTTAGAATTAGAAATAAAACAAACAAATGCATGCCGATAATGTGAGGAGAGGAATGAAGTTCAGTGCTTTGAACATAATTTTGCAGAAAAACAAATCTGACTTCCTTACAAGAGGAACAGACTTGAACTTTTGTCAAACTTGCAAACCTTTTTTTTTTTTTGGTCCATGGAGGCTGAAAAAAGTTTGAACTGAAACACGTTTTGTGTTGTTTCAAATGACACGCTTGTATAAAATATCTGCTAACATACCTATCCAGCAGTTATGGAGCAACATGATCAGTAATTTGGACAGGGGTTCTGTGCCCACCTGAGGAGTTAAAGTCTAGCATGGCTCTGTTTTGGTCTCTACCAAACCCTGGATAGTTATGTGGATGTTTTGTTGCTTAATGCTCCATCATACAGATCTTTAAATCTGAGAGGAGCTCAAGATTCATAAGAAAGAGATATGAACCAAAGTGTTTTGAAATGTTCATATTATGTATTTATAAAGCTGTTTAAAAGTTTCCCACCTATAGTTGAATAAACATTGAATTCATGGGAGCACAGATGGCTTAGCGGTTAGGTCATGCCCGTGTATGGAGTTAATTTTTCCTCTAAGCAGACAGTTCAGGTTAAGTCTGGCCGGTGACTCCTTTCCTGCATGTCATAGCCCACTCCCAATCCATATACCGTCCTATCAAACCCTAAAATATATCTTTTAAAAAAAGAAGAAAAATAAATTTATTAAAAGTTTGTTACTCCTCCTCATGTGAGCTGCAGCAGACGGCTAAAGTGAATCATGTCCAGGAGGGAGAGTGGTGAAAACGCTCTGTCAGCTCCTCCTGCTGAGGTCCAGATTACCTCCAAAATACCCTCTGATGACCGCAGACCCTCGGAGTGTAACCTGCTGAGTTTAAGACAGAAGGCTGCTCTGCTCCACATGTGAACCTGTCTGCATGGATATTGATTAAGGGGTCTTAAAGGTCAAGTCGGTTCATTAGTCTGTTAAACCTTTTCTAAAGCTTAACAACAGACTTCTGATCCCTCTGCTTAAAGAGCTCCGTCAAAAATCAATAGACAGTCATTCCTCTTCATCTGCTGACCCTCACCTCCCATCGTGTTGTGGTTTTGAATAATCCATATTCGGGTCAGTCTCCATTATGGCCCCGATTCTACAGATCGAGGCAGGAGGACACACATCTGAGTTTTTCTGTTCACTGAAGTAATTCAAGTCTGTATAGTAATCCTGACTTTTCCCTGTAGGAGAACAGAGTCATAAATGACTGGAAACCTGGAACTCCTCGTGGCAGGAAGACGTCAGAGGAGAGTGACGGCCATGGAGGACAAGGCGACGGGCACAGAGGGCAGAGCGAGGGTCAGAGCGAGGGTCACAGAGGTCAGAGCGAGGGTCACAGAGGTCAGAGCGACGGGCAAAGAGGTCAGAGCGACGGGCACAGCAGCCCCACAGGAGGACGGGGTCAGGACGGATGGGCCGGGGAGGGCAGAGAGGAGGACGCCAGGAGAGGAGAGAGTGGGAACCCAGGACGCCCAGAGACGGAGAACCTGGGGAACCAGGAGGAGGAGGAGGAGGCGGACCGGGGCGCAGGGGAGGGAGGAGAGAAATGAGAGAGTGGGAACCAAGGACGCCCAGAGATGGAGAACCTGGGGAACCAGGAGGCGGTGGACAGGGGCGCAGAGGAGGGAGGAGAGGGCGTGGAGAGAGGGGAGAGGGGGAGGGAGGATCAGGAGGATCAGGGGGCGGAGGAGGATCAGGGGGCGGAGGAGGAGGAGGAGGAGGAGAAGGAGAAGGAGTGACACCTGGTGGCACGGACAGGAAATCTAAGGTGAGCCTGGAAGAGGAAATGTTGTAAAATGCTGAGTGGTCTTTAAATGTTTTGAATTGCTAATTAATGTAAGGATTAAATGTTTGCAGTTGTTCCTGAGACTCTTTTCAGCCTGCAGAATGTTTAACTCCCAGTATTAATAAAACAATGATTTGTGATTAGTCACTAACGATGCATCCCCGGGTTTGTTCTTCTAACAGGAATGGGAGGAGAAGAGGCGACAGAACATCGAGAAGATGAACGAAGAAATGGAGAAAATAGCTGAATATGAGAGAGGACAGCGGGTAAGAGACTCTCTGAGTCTTTTGATGTATCATTTTATAGATAACGATAAAGAGCGTGTAGCTTTTTGGATCTCTTTTAAAGGTAGGGTTGGTAATTTTCATAAATGAGCATTATGTTGAAAGTAGCATTCCCTCAGTGCTCCGTCTGCATCCCCTCCCCTCTGTGCTCACTCAAAAGCCACGCCCCCTCACTTACATGCATGACCGCCATTGATCCAGAAGTGGACCTCAGCTCATGCTTTGAGTGTGGGCTCGTGTATGCATGAGGTAGAGAGCGAGCAGGGAGACAGGGAGGCGTCTGATTGGTTCTTCAGATTGGTACCTCGTGGCAGACATTGGTTGAAGTTTTTACAGGTTTACAAACTGATACAGATGATCATTTACTTCCTTTTTCAGAGAACATGAGTTATTAATTTCTGTCAGGACCTAAAGACAATTTCAACCAAAATCTTAAAAAGTGGATTGGAGGAAATTACCAACCCTGACTTTAATGTTGAAATCCTAAATAGACTACAAAGGTGGACTCTCAAATTCCTTCTGTTAATTATTGCCTCTGATTTATCAACTTAAAACAGAACTGAGACTTCTTTTCTTGAATGAGTTTCTAATAATCTGTTCCTGTACGCTCTCCAGAGGATTCTTTTGTAGAATAAAAATATAAATACCACACACAGAAGCATTTCAAAGCTTTGCTGCAGTCTACGTGAACATCGAGCGTTTCTTTCTCTCTTTAGCAGGATGGAGACAAACCGATCCGGAACTTCCTGGACGACCCGAGGCGTTCAGGTCCAGCTCCCGACATAGACCGCAAGGAGGGCAGCAGGAGACACGTGCGGAACTGGGGCGGGCTGGACTTTGACAACGTGAAGACGGGATCTGAACTGGAGAAGGAGTGGACCGTGAGTGATTTCATTTCTTTTGAAAAGAGGTTCATCAGATTCAGTGGATTTGACTCTGTGACCCCTCCTGTCCCCTGCAGAGTCGCAGACCAGGTCCCAAAGGCTCCATGGATATGACCATGTCTATGACGGGCCGGGAGCGTGCGGAGTACCTGCGCTGGAAGAAGGAGCGAGAGCAGATCGACGAGGAGAGACTGGCTCGCCATCGTAACGCCACAGGCCAGTGGAGACGAGAGTGGGACGCTCAGAAGACGGACAACATGTAAGACGGAAAGTTACTTCTTCAAGCATGAAGCAAATAAAAAAAAATATATATTCCTACAATTCACTTAGCAGACGCTTTTATCCAAAGCGACGTACATCAGAGAGTAAGAACAACACAAGCAAGGATCTAGAAAAAAGGGAACAATGTCAGTAAGAGCAAACGATCAGCTTTGAGTCTGATTGGACACACAGGTGCTGACAGGAAGTGACCAGAGGCAAAGCACAACATTGAGGGCAGTTCTTGAGAGCTCTAATCAGTATAGAAACCATCTTATAAGTCGTCATTATCAAACAAAAACCATCGTCATTCCCATCATCATCATCAATAATATGGAGACCATCATCATTAAGTTAGTAGGTATTCATGAAAGAGCTGGGTCTTTAGCAAAGGAGCAGATGGACTCTGCAGATCCAATGGAGTTTGGAAGTTCATTCCACCACCGGGGGGCGCCAGAGGAGAAGAGTCTAGTCAGCGTCTTAGTTTTACTTAAATCGAGT